TACAAGTATGTACACACTGATCATGTTAGAAATGCTCTGAAATATTTGATCAGGTTCAATAAGTGGTTCAGTGATGTGGAGATTAATGAGCAGTGGATTAACTCTTTGAATGAACCTGAAGAGAATGTTGTTGATGAAAAGGACGAACAAGATGTAGTTGAAAAGATAGATGATGAAAATGACCCTGACGAACAGCCAGAAGAAGACTTCACCTACATCAAAGAGTAAAGTGGTCTTTTGTCAGACACATCATTGCAACCTGTGGACATCGGTTCAGAAGTAATTGATCAGCATTTCCAGGATGTATTAAATCTGGCACCAGCCGAAGGTAACAGTCCTGTTAGTTTGTTATCTGATAGGTCCAATGAAGCTAAATGTTTCCCTGTTCTCTATCCAACTGGTGGTCCAACGTTTCATGATAGGAGGGAGGTAAGAATTACATTGTCAAGATACTTGAATGCAAGAATCCTCAATGCAGATGGACGTTTTGCGCGGAGCACAGACTTCATTTTCTATGCACAGTATTTGTCGGAGGTTGATCAAGTTGTATCTAATGTTTCAATTGCTTTACGCAAAGGATCTGACAAGAGTTTGTTGACTGAAGTATCATCAGATATGTTGTCTAAAATATTGAATTTCGATGAAGGATACAAGTTTTTGAGACCAATCCGTGGAACGCCACCATATTGGCAATCTACTCAAAAAGACCTTTTTGCGCTCGTAAGACAGCTAGGTATTCCGACTTTCTTTGCATCCTTTAGTTCTGCAGATCTCAGATGGCCTGAAATTATTAGCACCATAATCAAACAAGAAGGGAAAAATCTAAAAGCAGATGAACTTGACTGGTCTGAAAAATGTGGACTGATTAGACGAAACCCAGTCACTGCAGCAAGAATGTTTGATTATAGATGGCATTGTTTTCTGAGAGATGTAATCATGTCTTCAGCTCAACCGATCGGAAAGATAATAGATTACTTTTATCGTGTAGAGTTTCAACAGCGTGGATCTCCTCATGTTCATTGTCTGTTTTGGGTTGAAAATGCACCAAAGTTAAATGAAGACAATGAAGACAATGATGCTTTGGTTGCCAGTTTCATTGATCATTACATCACTTGTGAGACCCCAAGAGAGGATGAAACTGAACTGTTTGAGACTGTCAACGGTGTTCAAAAGCACAGTGTCAGACATTCAAAGATGTGTCGTAAGAAAAAGACAGTTAGCAGATTTAATTTTCCATGACCCCCATCTAGCCGTACCTTTATTACAAGAGGTGGTAGTCGAGACGATTTGAAAAGCAGTGATGGAAAAGATGCTGCAAGTACAATTTTAGAAAAAGTCAAAAGGGCATTAACCGCTTCTGATATGAATTATGATTCAACAGATGCATTTTTTTAGGCAATTGGCATTAATCAGGCTCTCTTCGAAAAAGCATACAAACAGTGTTCCAAAAAGAAAACTGTTGTCCTAAAAAGAAATCCAACAGATGTCTGGGTGAACCAATATAATAAACATTTACTGCGTGCCTGGCAAGGCAACATGGATATCCAGTATGTTACAGATGCTCACTCTGTTGTGGTTTACATTATTAGTTACATCACAAAAGCAGAACAAGAAATGGGACTGTTGCTGCAACGTGCACAAAATGAAGCCATGAATGGAAATCTTGAAGCAAGATCATCATTAAAAATGCTTGGGAGTCTATATATTCACAACAGAGAAATTTCTGCTCAAGAGGCTGTGTATCAACTGACAGGTATGCACTTGAAGGAATGTTCTCGTAAAGTCCAGTTCATTCCAATTGGATTGAATCCTGTAAAGATGAGTTTGCCTCTTCGTGTTATCAAAAACAAAGATGATCAGTCTGGTGAAGAAACTAGCTTTTGGATGACCAGTCTGGTTGACCGATACAAGAATAGGCCAAACACGCAGGAGTTTGAGATTCAATGTCTTGCAAGTTTTTGCTCTGAAAACAGGATATTGTCAAAATCGGAGGTTTCTTCACAAAAAAAGGCCTCCGAAGAAAAGGTGATTAAGCTTAACAACAACTGTGGCTATATGATGAAGAGAACTCGAACTGAACCTGCAGTTGTCAGGTATCCGAGATTTTCTCCAAAAAAAGATCCCGAAAAGTACTTTCATTCATTGTTACAACTTTTCTTACCACATTACGAAGACTGGCAGCTCAAGCCTGAGAATTTTACCACTTATGAGGAATTCTACAACAATGGTGCTGTGAAATGTGGAAGTAATGTGACCGAAGTAAAATGTATTGTTGATGCTAATCGAGCACTGTTTGAAAAGGAAAGTGACAAAATAGATCGGGCTCAACAGCTTTTGGAGCAGGGTGTTGATTTGGAAGATGCTTGGGCTGCATTATGTCCTGAAACAGAAAAGGAACGTCATGAATGTGTAGAACTAAGGAAGAGTAATATAATTCCCGATGAAGATGATCCTGAGTCTTCTATCCCAGATCTTGTAGCTAACCCTCGAGTTCCATACCGTATTGAAAGCAACCATGCTGGAATGTCTAGAGACGAGGCGTTATGTTTACTAAGATCATTAAATACACAACAGTCTGCAATCTTTTACAAAGTGCGGAAATGGTGTCTAGAGAAACTTCTTGGAGAAAACCCTGAACCATTTCACTTGTTTGTTACTGGTGGAGCAGGCACAGTGAAAAGCCATTTAATCAAAGCAATATACTACGAGTCTTCCAGACTTTTATCTCCGCTGTCTGACAACCCTGATGATAGAAGTGTGATTTTAACTGCGTTAACTGGAGTGGCCGCGTACCACATTGGTGCTTCCACCGTCCATAACACTCTTTCCATAGGTGCTAATGTGAAACTGCCATATCAGCCACTAAGCGATGACAAAATCAATTCACTGCGTGCAAAAATGGGAGGTTTGCAGATTCTGATCATCGATGAGGTGTCCATGATTGACCATCACCTTTTGTCATATGTTCATGGGAGATTGAGACAAATGAAGCAAACTGGTGACTACTCCATTTTTGGAAAAGTCAGTTTGGTCTGCGTTGGTGATTTTTACCAGCTTCCGCCTGTCAAGGGAATTCCTCTGTATGTTGATCCAAAAGGAGTGAATCTTTGGGATAACAGCTTTGAAATTGCAGAACTAACACAAGTTGTCAGGCAACAAGATGCATCTTTTGCTGAAATGTTAAATCGTCTTCGAGTTCATAAAAAGAAGGAAACTCTAAGCCCAAGCGACATTAACATGTTGAAGCAATGTGAAACAGGTGAAGAATGTGATGCTATTCATATATTTCCTACAAATGCTCAGGTTGATGAATACAACATTCAGAAACTCAATGAGCTTTGTCCTGAGGCAATCACTATTCGAGCTAGAGACTTTGTGAGAAATCCAGAAACTGGAAGA